ATAAATAACATCCCAGTTCGGTGATTGAGAAAAAGAACAGTAAGATTCTGTGACAGCTTCTTCCGGACCGCCATCAGACTTATGAACACTGCATATCCATGTCTGAAATACAATCTCATCTACTGGCTCGGATTTTTCATTGCACAGATGCTGACCAAAACATTTCCTGACTCTTGAAAAACTTTGAAACCAACAATACAACAGTAGCTCATCTACCTGGTCATTGTTTTTGCACACATACTGTTATATATTGCAAAAATGCAAATGTATGCATCTTATTATACATTTTTCTATTTATACCACCTACACCTCGATCTTGATTCTACCCCACTCTTATTTTATTTTCATTCTTATATTTTTTTCTGTTTTTATACGCCAAACATATTTTACTTTGTTTAATTTAGCATTTCTACCTTTACATTCATTATAGTTCATCAAGTTGTTTATGTTGTGCGCTAAAATGCATCGTAACTTTGTTCCACAGTGCATCTCTGATGTTATGTTTGAATGACAAAGAGATTCTGAATTTGAATCTGATTCTAATTCTAAAATCAAAACAACTGCAGTTATCGACCAACTAAAAAGATGCAAAGTCTCAGCACTGCTCACAGCGATGTCGTTGATGCGAGACGACAAGTCCATCACTTGCTCCCTGGCMGACCGCAGCTCCACACCCTCCCGCTGGAGCTTGTCCTTCATCTTGTTCAGAGTCTTCATCATGTCTTCCTTCTCCTGGGTCTTTGTCTCGCATTCCCGCTCTTTCCTCTCCAGTTTAGCTAGCAGCTCTGCATGTTCTAGAGGTAACAAAACATAAAACATTTGCATGATGTGGATTTCAAATGTAGGAATTAACAAGATTAGAAAAAAAATTTTTTTTACCTTTCCTGAATTTTTCCGCCTGCTCTCGCCACAGTTTGACCTCATTTTCATTGACCAGCCTGTGAAGAAAAACAAAAATAAGCAAACACACACACACACACAAACCGAAGGATCCAAAGCACACCATGAAAAGCTCACAGACAGGGGTCAACTGCACTCCAACAGAGTCAAGCTGCAACATTCTGAGGGAATTTAATCACTGGATTGGTAAACCCATTGATCAGTGACACTAATCCTCCACTTCCTTTTTGTGAGGGGGACTCAGATTGATCACAAGCATTGACTGAGTTGCTGCAGTTTGCTCGTTTAAGCTCCGAAGGACAACATTAGTGCTGAAATAAGTCTTGCTGGGCTGAAATCGGTTATATTTGACTGGTTATTGCATTTTGGGACTTGGCTTAGCTTGAGGGGTTGGCGGTTAAACTGGGTTTATGCGTAAAAATAAAACGAGCTGAATAAACAGAGGTCTGAGTTGAACAAAAYGAACGATTAGAAATGGGATGTTTTAAAAATATATATTTGAGGTGATGAAAAAYTGGAAAGTGAAACCTGGAGCACTGGCGGTAGCTCTGGCTGGAGTTGAGAGAACAGAAAGATTTAGACACAAATTAGATTAGATAGAAAATTTTAAATGAATGAAAGAAAATGTCAGTAAAGAACTCCAGAAATGACTTTATTGTGATAATAATTCAACTTTTACTGTTTTCTATCAATTCACAAAGGTTAGTTCCTCAACTGTAAAAAAAAAAGGAAAAAAGAAAAGTTGGCAGAACTCAAAATTGTAAGGCAACAAACTTCAGGGCATCTTTAACTTATCTATTTAAGTTTTGCTCTTGAGTTGGCCAAACTTTGATTTCCACATTTTTGTAAGTCAACCAAAAGTTATAGGAACTTATGGTTTTAGGTTGTAAGAACTTTGAATGCTGAGTCTTCTACTTCACATGAAAGTAGCAGTAACTTCAAACTTTRTGTTGTACAAACTATGAATCTCATATTTCCCTTATTCTATTATAGTTTGCAGCCACTTAACATTATAGATTCTAACAACTATAAATCCTAATTACTGAACTTCACTACAAGTTGCTGTAACTTAAACTTTACCATGGCTTCAATTATTTATTTTTTAATAAAAATAATTAGTGGTAAGTAATCTTCTTATACTTACTACATTAGCATTACCATGTGTCAATATAGAGTTCTGACTGGTCACTGAGTTTGTATATATGTCTCTGTGTGTATATCTACAGTATGTATTTATATGTATGTATGGGTATGAGTGTGTGTACGTATGTATGTATGTATGTATGTATGTATGT